GAGAATTTATGTTTAGTTGTTAACTGCAGCTAACCCAGCATTAAATAAAACTTTTGAGGGACCATAGTTTGAAATTCTTTCTTTTTTTTTTAAAGATGTTGGGGGTAGGAGTTTATTAATTAGTTTATTTTTGCTGTATTGGGTCTTCGTTTCTGTGCGAGGGCTTTCTCTAGTTGTGGCAAGTGGGGGCCACTCTTCATCGCGGTGCGTGGGCCTCTCACTATCGCGGCCTCTCGTTGCAGAGCACAGGCTCCAGACGTGCAGGCTCAGTAGTTGTGGCTCACGGGCCTAGTTGCTTCACGGCATGTGGGATCCTCCCAGACCAGGGCTCGAACCCGTGTCCCCTGCATTAGCAGGCAGATTCTCAACCACTGCGCCACCAGGGAAGCCTGTATTTTGAAATTCTTATTGGAAATTATTCAGTAAATGATGTTGGGGTTTTCTGGATTGATATCTAACTTTTATACCAGGATAAATTTCATATGGATATAAGATGTAAATGTTGTAAACAAAACAATAAAATGCCAGAAGAAACCATGGAAGAACTTGTGTATAAGGAAGGCTTTTCTAAGAGCAAATAAGAATACTTTTTAAAATCCTGAAGCCATAAAGCAGAGAGCATTAAAAAGTATTAAAAAGCAAAAATATATTATAAATTCAGCCGAGTTCTTTCCTAACCCTTCATATTTTCATAATGGAAATTCATGATTTTAGATTGTTTTATTTTAGATTGTTTGTCTTCTCCTTGATTCCTTTAGATGTCCTTATCCAACTCTGCTGAATCTTTCTTGAGATTGATCAACATCACTTCAGGTAGGATGGGAGGTGGTCCTGAAGGAGGGTGAGATAATGCAGTAGTGACTATCCTGTTACTGTCAAGTGAGGCCTGTTCTGCTGAGGTGTATGATACTGGGTAATTGACTTTTAATTCATTGTTTCACTCAGTAACCTATAATTACTCAGAAAGCAAGGTATTATTTGACACCAGGTATTTGTGCCCAGTAAGCATGAGGGGCAAAGGCAGAGTCACCACAGCAGTTTGGTGGTGAGAAGGGTTGGTAGGAGTTTTAGATGGCTAAAACAAGGTTTTGCAAAAGTTACAAAGCTCTGTCTATTAGCATAGTGTTATTGAAACTGGCCCTCTTCATGGGAACATGTCCTTCTGAGTTCCTGCCCTGTGTTGTTGTCTGTATTGGTTCAGCTATTCTAAAGGGACTCAAACCAGTAGTGGATTAAACAACATTTAGTTTTAACTGTCTCCCAAATAAAAATCCCAGCTGGGTTGGTGGCTTTGCTATCCAATTTCAGGGCCCAGGCTTCTTCTATCTTCTTACTATATTTACCTTAAAGTGATCAGATGAACCACTGTCATATTTACACTGAGCCAGAAAAGCAGGATAAGAGGAAGGAGAAAGCATCTCCCCTGATTTTAAGGCACTACTTTAAGGGAATAATTTAGAAGCAGCGCACATCAGTTCTCCTCATACTCAGAACTTATTTGCATGGCCATATTCAGCAGGAAAGGAGGCTGTAAAATGTAGAAAATGTAGTCTTAATGTGTACAGTCGTATGTATATCTAAAAATTCTACCACTAAAGAAAAGGAAAATGGATACCAAGGCACAATTAGCAATCTCTGCAATGATGTCTGTGTGTAGTAAGACACACTTGTTATTAATTATAGAGAAACTTGTGTCCTTTGACCTGGGTCAGTTGGTGGCTTTCTGTCATTCACTAAATGCCTTGTGAAAATAATGGATAATTTTTCTGTTACTTTATGTTACTGCCATCCAGTTCATGCTATTCTACTATATCCAGACATTAGTCTCATCAATCTATTCTTATTGGCATGGCTCTTCATTATCTGGAAGAACTTTTAATCCTCTGTAATCTTAGTGAATTTCATTTTATACTTTCCACTTTTAAATTATTTTATAAACACGATGGTTACCACACTTTTAATACTCTTCTGCTTAAAGAAGTTCTTTTTGCCCTCTTTCAGTAACACCTATTTCTAAGTCAGTACTCTAACCACTGTAATAGATTTTCCTGGACTTCATTCAGACTCTTTTCAAAAAATAATTTGAACTTTTGAAGATTTTAAATTGTGAAAGTAATATCCACTGTTTTCCCTTTTTCGTCAACTTTTTCAGTCCCTTAAACATGTCTAGAAGTAAACATCCAAAAATTGTACTAGGGATCCTTTCGCTTGCTTCCTCATTGTTACCCCTTCCTTAGTGTTCAGAAACTCTACCCACCATTAGAGTTTCCACTAGTTAAGTATGAAGTAGGACTTCTGATGTCTATTTCACATGGCAAAATTTATAGTTAATTGATAGGAGTTACGTTTTTTCTCTTAAATTAATTCAGAGTAGAAGAATGGCAAGTCTGCAGTGGACGTTTAGCATGTCTCTGCTTAACCTTCAAGTCCCCACTATAGTATAGTTCACCATTTATTATAATGAGGAATAAAATTTAACCTTGTTTACAATATATAAAGTATTCCAGTCAGAATGCCTACTTTGATTTTTATACAGAAGCCCTGCCAACCGTACTGCCTTGGAAATCTGAACAAAGATGAACACAGACATTTCATCCATGATACATAACGAGCATTATTCTCCATGAAGCTATATTAGAAAATGATATATATAAGAAAATGATATTAGAAAATGATATATATAAGGTACTATTTATCTTTTGAATTACTGTTATGTAAAAATCTCTTGTTGTTATGTTATTTGTCCAGCCTTAAAGTAACTACATAATCATGCATAGTTGAAAATTTTGGCTAAAAACAGCTTACAGTTCACCAAAATATGCCTTTATATGGCCATTGTTTGGTAATGGAAATTGGACAAGACATTTTGGAGTTAAACAAGTAATGCAAATGTTAGAGTACTTCATCTAAAGTTTACATTTAAGGTAGATAAAGTAGGTAAAAAATCAAGAAGGCTTAATTATAGTTACTAAGGGCAATGGATTCAGCTCTAGGCTTGGGGAACTTGGAGAGAGCTATGGGACACAGTTGATGAGAGTATGAACAGGACAGGGAAAGAAAATTGTTCTCCATTTGATTTGCATCACTATATCTTTTAGGATCTACACAGAAGTCTAGACTTGAACCCCAAAATTGCCTACTGCCCAGAATGGGCAGTCAAGTTCTTTGGGCCACTGTTGTCCTCTTAGTGCTGTAAAATTGTCCTGCATAGGGGCTCAAAGATATGCACTGGGTTTGTACTGTGATATCATAGTAGCAATTAGCATAAAAATCCAGGTGTGACTCACATCTCCCACTTCTTAAGTCAGAATATATAGAATTTTGAAAAATGATGCAGATGCTTTTAATCAATCATTTCATAAGAATTTGCAAATAATAATGTCCACCACCACTACTTCCACTGTTCTCAACTATTGACGACAACAATTCCAAGAAATTTTAAAGCTTCTCTTTATAGTTACTTTATAGTGAAGTAATAACTTATCGATCATCTTGGTACTGTGAGAATCTTGTAAAACAATTGTGGGAAAGTTTTCTAAAAGGATATTTAGATCTTGAAGGATGAGTAACTGTTTGGCTAACAGATAGATGGAAAAGCTAGTGCCCTCAGAGTGAAAATCATGTGCCATGGCAAGGAGGAAATGAAAGCACCGAATTACATACAAATTTTAATGTGAGTGGGGAATTCTATATAGTTTTTAAAACAAGGGGGAGAAAAGCCATTTCTGCAGTGCTTGGCTCCAGATAATAAAGGTCAGTGGAAGAAACTGTTGTAAAGTTATGATAAGAGGCAAATTTAAGGTAGGGAAATACCACTCATCTAATATGCTTAGAAACCAAGGACCATCACAGCAGATGAAGGATGATGACAGTAGGGATTGGGCAGTGTGAATTTGGACCTGTTGGAAAGGTGCTCATCTAGCTATGAAGATGTTTGATCTCACTCTTCTGAGCAGCACCTTGTTTCACAAATGAAGGAACTTAACACCTAGAATAGTTAAAGTTCCTATAGGGGCTTCCCTGGTGGCGCAGTGGTTGAGAATCTGCCTGCCAATGCAGGGGACACGGGTTCGAGCCCTGGTCTGGGAAGATCCCACATGCTGCGAAGCAGCTGAGCCCGTGAGCCACAACTACTGAGCCTGCGCGTCTGGAGCCTGTGCTCCGTAACAAGAGAGGCCGCGATAGTGAGAGGCCCGCGTACCGCGATGAAGAGTGGCCCCCGCTTGCCGCAACTAGAGAAAGCCCTCGCACAGAGACGAAGACCCAACACAGCCAAAAAAAATGAAGTAAATAAATAAATTTAAAGGGTAAAAAAAAAAAAGTTCCTATAGCCTCTACACCTAGAGTAGTTAAAATTCCTATAGCTTCTACACCTAGAATAGTTAAAGTTCCTAGCCTCTCTATGCAGTGTGTGGTCCCTGGACCTGCAGCACTGGATTCACCTGGGACTGTATTTCAGATTCTTAGGCCCTGCCCCAGATCTACTGAAAACAGACTCTGCATTTTAACAAAAGACCCAGAGGATTGCTATTAGATTTTTGGAAACGCTAGCCTGAAGGTAACTGAGCCGTACACCTAGGGGGCTCTGACTCTGCTTCCATTGAATTCCTCCGTTACTGTTATATCTTGCTGCTTTGATAGACCCCATGGGCACATTACTTCCACAGCTCTTTAAGGTTAATCTTAAGAGAGGTCTAGGAAAGTGCCCAACCCGCCAGTGACATCTTAAAATCCTGCCAGCCAATGGCAAAGTGAGATTCCTCTGGGATTTCCGCAACCAAAGCAAGTTTTCTGGTTCCTCTGATGACACCTGCGATCCTGGGGTTCTTTCGCCAGACGCCTGCAGCTTTGGTTGAGGTTGCCAACTCGCCAGCTTGGGCGGCGCCAAAGCCGGCTGGGCTGGAGGCTAGCGATCAGCGTCTGGCGGTTGCCGAGCGACGGGGTCCACGCTAATCCTCGGTTAAATCTGCAAAGGTTTGCGGGATACCTAGAGCACGGCTATGGAGTCCGAGAGGAGCTCACTCATGGCCTGGGACTTGGAGACCCCAAAGAAGGATATGTAGCTGCGGGTGACCCCGTCGGAAGTGAAGTTCCTGGACGCGATGGCAGGGAGGGTCTACCTCCTCCCAATTACCGTGCACAATCTCGGCCGATACAGCCAGAAGATCCGGTTTCAGGAGCCTGTCAAGCCACAGGTAACACACCCAGGGGTGTTGAGAGCAGGACCTCAGGAGGGCCGCCATCCGAGAATGCCTACCCACCTGGGCACCTGCTTTGTCCTGGGGAGTAGGCGCCCGGCTCCTGCGGGCAGGATTGAGCTTCCTGGGGAGCAGCGATTTAGTGTGCTGGCTTTTTGTTTTGTTTTGATGTTTTTTCCTTTCTGCTTGGGGCTGGGAGACAGGGTGGAGAAAAGTCGATCTGGAACCTCCCAATTTCTTCATTGGGAGTTTGGAAAGAAGGGAAGAGGATTTCACGTCTGTCTCCTCTTAACAGCCCAGAATCTATGCTTCATGATACTGTAGAATTATGGCAACAGATTCTCTATTAACTACCCTTTGGATCATAAAGTGCCTGTTACTCCAGATACTGTAGGATAGTGGAAAGGTTTATTATTTCGTATTCTAACAAACATTTGTTGAGAACCTGCTACAAAATAGGGAGTAAGTGTTAGGGATGTAAAATGGAGAGAGTCCTGCCCTCATAAGACTTAGAAACTAATGAGGGAATTAGTAGTAATAATCAGCAAAATTAATGTTCTGAGAGGCTATGCCTATCTTCTGATTTAAAAGTTGACAGAACTTCATCTCTATCTCACTGTTATTTTAGATTATCTGTGTAAATGGATGGCTATTAGTTTACTGTGATCATCTGTTCTTAGGGAAAGTTGATATAGGACAGGTGAAACGAATTTTTGATATGTACGTGATGAATAACTGCATTTTTTGTGGGATAGTTCTAATGATAATGATACTGAATGCAGCTGGACTTCTATATGCAGAAATGGAAAGGTATCTATGATTTAATTAAAATCACACATATTTGTTTGTATACATATAGATAAATGTATGGTAGTGATTAGGAGGGCAATGAGAAAAAGGACTTTTATGTTCTACTTATTACACTTAGAAAATTGATGTACTGTTTACCTACACTAAAGTGCACAAATCTTGAAAGCAAACCTTGATGAATTTTTATATACATATATCTCCACGTAGCCACCACTTGGATCAAATCATAGAATATTTCCAGCACTCCAGAAGGTTCCCTATAGTACGTGGAGTAATTACCCCATGGAGGTGACCACTACACTAATTTGTAATGAACCAGATTAATTTTGTCAGTTCTTGAGTTTCATGTAAATGGAATCATTCTTTATTGACTTTTGTGTGTACATGTTTTAACAATAGTGATGTGTTTATTTTGTAATAAAAGTGTACATCACAGGGACTATTAACTACTCTTTAAATCAAGAAGTACCTGATTACTCCAAACACTGTAAAATTCGGGGAAAAGTTTATTATTTCATTAACTCACTACATATTTATTGAATAATTGAATGTATATCTGAAAATATTTTCTTTTAAAACTCAGGCTGGAAGCAAATCCCAGATGTGGGCAAACACTAGTTTATGGATGTCCAGGAGGCACTTGTATGGGTGGTTTTTATGAAGTCAGAAGAAAAATAATATAATTAGTTTTACTGTGGTTTTTATTTAGAGGTCTTGACATTGGCAAGAGAATGGCCAGACAGGTTTACTAGTTAGAGGCCAAGGCCATGAGTTCAATATCTGTTGTAAGATCATGATATGCACTCCTGGTCCTTCACAGGCATAAAGGGAATTAGGGAAGGGATAGATTAACAAAAAGTATATTAACTGTCTTGGAGGAAGAAAGAAAAAATAAAAACAGGGTGCTACGTAAAGGGCATTGTCATCATCACTATTGTAATTATTTAGGAAATGATTCTCTTAACACACAGCAGTGCTTGTTTTCCACCCCGTTTTCCAAGATCCTGCCTTGCCTATGTATTGAGTACCCACTATGTGCCATATGCAGTGCTAATGCCACCTACTGTGGGTTGCTGTTAGAAAATTAAGACACAGTCTTTATCTTCAGTGTTTTGCTGACTTGTGTGGCCTTTGGTTCTGTCAGGCCAGTCTTACTTGTAATTGTCCTCTTACCCCCATGGCTCAGACTTCCTTTTCTTTTGACCCATGTTTTCATTCCTTCCTCCTGCAAGAATCACCGCCTTCCAAATCCCACCCATCTTTTAGGGTCAAAGTGAGTTCTCATTTTCTGAAACAAGTCTTCTCTTATATTATCTCCAAATTATTTCTCCCCTACTGGATACTAATTGCATTTACAGACATTCATTATAGCTTGGACTTGAATCCAGATGGCTCCTGGTAACTGTTACTTTCACCTCAATGGTCAGTTCATAAGCTCCTAAGAGAAGGGGTGGTGCCTTACACACCTTTGCAGACCACTCAGAGTGCTGAGAAACTTGTGGTTTGGGCACATGCTGCTGAAGTACTAGTTGCCCTTCTTATTTAAAGGAAGACGGTCAAACCTGTTATGTGGACTTCCAGCACCCAAAGACCTATGTGGGGAATAATCTATCCCTTGTTTTCTTACTGTTTGGTGATGGATGGGGGTTGAGAGTTGGGCTGTGGTAGTTATGAGGTGTCAGAATCATTGTTTGCTCGAAGTATGATGCTTTCAGACCAGTGGTATCAACACATCACTCCAGTTCTCTGTAGCTCTCATTGCTGGAAAGCCCTGCTTAGACTCAGTCTGACATTAAAAGCCCTGAATAATTAATTTCAACTTGACCTCCATTGTTACTCACTGAAGCTCTTTGCCCAGCAAGGCTAGCTTATTAGCTGCCTGCTGAGAGATTATTTTGCTTATTCTTTTCTCTGCGTGTGCCTGAGATATTCCCGCCTCCATAGGGAGCACCTTTCTTGCTTCTTCTCTACCTTTTACATCCATCCTCTAAGCCTGCGTTGAGTGTACTCCTTCTTAGCCCACAGTAATCATGTTCTCTCATGGATTTTCATGATACTTATGTCTGCATCACTCGTATGACACTTGATTAGTCCCTGGCTTACATTATTTAATTTTCAAGGGGTATATAGTCTGCTTCTTTAAAGAGATTATATACTCAGGAGATTCTTTCTAGTTGTGGGGAAAGAGCTTAAGTTTTAGAGTCAGACAGATGTGTGTTTTGAGTTCTCACTGACACAGTGACCTTAGGTATTAATTGCACCTACAGGTCCCAGTTTCTCATCTCTACACTGGGAGCCTTAATATCAGCCTTACAGGGCTGTAGAAGTGTATTAAGTGAGCTGATAGACATCAAATGCTTTACCTACCAGACGTACTCAACACAAAGCAGTTCTTCTCTTTCCCCCTTCAGATTTTTCCTGGAGTCTAGCAAATGTTTTTCAAGAACAAAAGTTCTTTTTCCTCATTGGTCTATTCCTTTTTATATTTCCTCCAAGTTATGAAGTCCAAGTCCTTATGCAGAAAGTATATAAAATGATGTATGTATTTATGATTGTATGTATGTGTGCATGTTTATATTGTGTATGTATTTAGACTGAGTAACATTTTCATTAGATTGCTCTTCCCTTTTTTTCTGTATTCTAGTACCTCATATTTCTAAAGGAGCCCACAAGCATTTACATATTTCTTGACTGACTGCATTTTCAGTTTCAGTTTGTGTACCATTAAAAGCATATCTGAAGCATCTAGAATCTGATAGGTATAGATATGGTCATTAAGTCTTTGCCTTTAGGGCAGGAATATTGCCTATGTCTTGATATATCTCTTGAAATAATGTATACTCCTAACTACAGTTGCTCATACTATTTTCTTATTAGGACTTAAGATGTATAATTTGATTTTTTTTCCCTACCACTGAAGTTCAAACTGATTTTGACCAATCTGGATTAAAGCACTTGCTTCTGGCCTTCAGACGACAGCTATGGTGGAGTATCATCCTGATAAGAATGAAGACACTTTTGACCAACTTCTTATTTCAATAGGAAATAAAACAATAGAGATCCCTCTAATTGGGTATGTATTCTTCATATTTCATGCTAATATTTTGAGCACTCTTCAAATATTAAGGGTCATAGTAATATTTTGTATTTTCTATGACTAATAGGGCTTTTTTTATCTAGAGTTTCCTTACAACTGAACTTAAAGAACAAATTTTTAGCAAATTGTAGTGTTCAAAACAAATGGAAAACTAGTTTTCCATTATTTTTTTATTAAAATCATTAAAAAATGTCCAACAATTGCATGTTTTCTTTTTTTCCCGTTGAACTCGCACCCTATTTTATTTCCACCATATTTTCTGTACCTTTTGATAGCAAGATTTATTAAAGAATGCTATTTTTGCTGTCTCTACAATCTTACTTTCCATTCTCACTCCAGCAAACTCCAGAGGGGCTGTTTTCCCCAGCTTTCCAGTGAAGTAGCTCTTGCATATTGCCAGTCTGTTGGTACCTCCTTTGCCTTTATCTTACTCCATTTCTCAGAAGCATTAGACACAATTAACCATTACTGCCTTTGTGGGTCACTTTATTCTCTTGATTTCCTTGCTACTACACCTCTTCAATGATTGTTCCTTCTCATCCTATGTTATTTTTTTTTTAATTGAAATACAATTGACATATAACATTGTGTAAGTTGAAGGTGTACATGTTGATGTGATACATTTATATATTGCAATATATTACTACCATAGGGTTGGCTAACACCAGTATCACATTACATAGTCATCATTTCTTTCCTGTGGTGGGAACAATTAAGATCTAGTCTGTTAGCAACTTTGAAGTTTATAATACATTTTTGTTGCCTATGATCACTATGCTGTATGTTAGCTCTCTGGGACTTACTTATCTACTAGTTCCCAGCTTGTACCCTTAAACAGTATCTCTCCAATTCTTCTACCCTCCAGCCTCTGGTAACTACCCTTCTACTTTCTGTTTTTATGATGGATGCATTCCTAAATTAATTATTGTGAACCCATATTCACATTTTAATTTAATTTTAAATTATTGTCATATTTACTTCACAGAATTTTAAATAATGCAGATGTTTGGCTTCAAAAACTCAAAATGGTGTTTTTTTGAGATTGGCTGAAAAATATGGACTGATATAATGAATACAGAACTAAGTAACTGGTTTGCAGATTAACTTTAATACAAATAATTTTTTTAATACTAATAATTTATTTGACCAGGACATTGTGCTTTTCATTTTATATTGAAATAAGTATAGTTCTGTTCATTATAAAATTACCCGTTAGAGCTGCTGTTAAAATTTTTGTGTTTTTTTTCACATACATACATGCATGATCCTTCTTTTCCCCAGCAAAATATGATTCCATAGGTGTTATTCTTTTGTCTCTGTTTATCTGGCACCAGCAGAATTAATATTAGAATATTAATATTTAATATTAATATTGGTATTAGATATAAGTCTTTTTATAATTTCCCTTGCATTTTTTTATTTTCATAAACTAAATTTAGATGTGCAATTATTTGGGTTCTCAGTGTTGTTGAGAAGTTCTGCTTTCTCACAACATCACATTCTGCATAGGAATCAAACAGCTGACACATGTTAGGAAAGGAATAAGCTACTCCTTTGCGTCATTGGAAGGTATTTATTTAGCTATCAGAGCATCCCCGAGTTTGGAGACCACTGGTACTTGGCATGAGTGTGTTGGTCATTCCCCTCTCCAGAATTTCCTTCAACTCTGATCCTTAGTCAGGGTTCAACTGGTAACTCATCTTGCAGAAGGCATTTGGAGTCAAGAGGCACTTCTGATAGGTGGCTAGATACTTTATTGTCCTTAGAGGTCAACTGTCCTGACGTGTTGTGGTGCATATGGGGCCAGAAAATGTTTTTTATACGAGGAGAAGAGAAACCAGTAGGAAAGCCAGAGAAACTGTTATATATTGCCATTTTACCACACCCTTACTGCTAAGGTTAAACCATATATATGTGTATGCACGTATGTACATGTATATGTGTGTGTATGTGTGAAGATTCTTAAGAAATTCTTCTTAAGGTACTTTTCCACATCTAGCTAGAGAAAAAGTGTGAAAAAACGTTCAGCTTCACATCTTATATTGTTTGTGTGACTGGTTCCTCTTTTAGATCCTGTAAACTATTAATGCAATTATGTATACACATATAAATATATTGTAAGGAGATGTACAAGGTCATTGATCTTTTCCTGTCACAAAATTACAATCTCTATGAGAAGAACATGGGTATTTCTTAGACTATGCAGCATAAGTAGGACATTCCTGGCTGATCTCTGGAATGTCTGTACCTATCCAGTAATACACAAACACATATAAACACAGATCCCAGAAAGAAGGCCCAGACCACCAATGTATAGGCAGTATTTGTAAATGTTTTGTTCAGGTATTTTTATTTATGAATTTTAGTGTGTTTGTATGTATATATGATTGTATGTATGTATGCATTTATGCTTTGGAGGTTGTATCCTAAGTGGAGTAAATTACTTAATTCATGTGTCTGGCACATAACCTTAGGGCTCAATAAAGATTAGTTATTACTATATTTATTACTGATGCTGTTGTTATCGTTGTTAGGTTTCCAAGGTAATGTACTTGAAGTCTAACAAAATGGATTCAAGTTTAAGTTCCCCAGCGTTATATCCAGATAATTCCTTAGATAAATCATTTAAGCTTTTTAAGTCTTTGGCTTTTCATCTGTAACCTAGGAGCCGTAATATTTACCTACCTTTCAGGAAATTTGTTAATATCAAACAGAATAATATACTTAATGGTGCTTTATAAACTATAAATTATTATCCAGATATATATGTATATATATATCATTATGAGATGTGTATTTAGGATTAGAATGGATTTTTTAAATGCTTATGAAAACATATGCTACAGATACGCTACAGTGAGTCCTTTAAATTGGCGACACACATGGAAAATCAATTATATCCTTTTGTTCTTAGGCCTTGTTTTAGTCCCCAAGTGATATTTTATAGTATCATAGCTCCTTTTATTTCATCAGATTTGGACCATCCAAACTAGTTTACTTTGTTCAGATAACTTGCACCCTTTGGGGGTCGGGGGGGGCAAAAGAATGTATTATAGGCTTAGTAGGAGATTCCAAAACAGAGTTCCAAATACATTTTGAGCTACAAAAATATTGAGATGTGTGGGTAACCTCTCAAGGTGAGTACTTGGGAAGGCATACCATGTACTTATGCATAAAGTCTGATTTCTTTATTTAAAATGTGTCTCATTATCTTTTTTTCGTGTCTTTATTTTACAGTTTGTTTTACTGACAGATGTGCCACCAGCAGACCTATAAGGAAACTGAAATATCTTTTTAGGAGTTAAGATAAAAATATCTATATATATCCCCCTGTGGATTTAACCATGAGGTTATAGTTGTTAAAATTCATCATATGGGGCTTCCCTGGTGGGGCAGTGGTTGAGAGTCCGCCTGCCGATGCAGGGGACACGGGTTCGTGCCCCGGTCCGGGAAGATCCCACATGCCGCGGAGCGGCTGGGCCCGTGAGCCATGGCCGCTGAGCCTGCGCGTCCGGAGCCTGTGCTCCACAATGGGAGAGGCCACAACAGTGAGAGGCCCGCATACTGTAAAAAAAAAAAAAAAAAAAAATTCATCATATCGTCCTCTTTTCTCCTCTTCTAGGTTGATTCTATCCTGTCAACTGGAAATTGAGTCAGAAGTTAATTTTGGGACATTGGTTGCCAATAGTAAAGTATATTGTAAAGAGATTAATATCATTAACCATGGCAGAGTACCAGGTAAATACTTTCTGTCATATAAATTAACTTACACTTTTGGAAGAAAATTGGTACTGTTTGAAATATATACCTTCTGCAGTTAATGGATTCTCTGATTCACCCTACCCCTCCAGAAGAATTATGTTATTTGAAAAGGCTCAAAACTGAAGGTCCTTAAGTAGGATGACTGTAAAAGACTGATAGGTAATATCAGGAAAGATGAATCTACATCCTTATGATTCTTATTAATACAACCTGACTCTCAGATGACTGATGATCTCCCTGAGGATAGGAGGCAAGGTGGTGTCATGGAAGTGACATAGTCCTTAGAGCTTTCCAGAGATAGAATCAGGACACAGTGCCTTACTAGCTGTGTGATCTGGGGCAAGTATCTTTAAGGACATTGAACTTCAGATTCCTCATTTATAAACTGGCTGATAAAATATACTGTGTTAATTATGTATGTACTTAAGGTTGTAATATGGTACTTGACTTATCACAAGCACTCAGTAAATATTTGTTCTTTTTCTCGATCATATTCAACTTTGAATTCACATGATGATCCCTAGAAGGCTCTTACTAACATTTTGTTGAAAGGAAAAGTGCTTCTCTCTTCTCCATACTGGATTATTTCTAGACATTCTTACTGTGACCTAAGAGTTTCCATAAAGGCATAAGTGTGCCTGTGTCTATGTGTGTGTGCGCACATGCATGTGTGTATGCACACTCTTCATTGATGATATACTGTAGGCATAAAATCACTTATCCTTTCATTCACTTGATTGGATGGTCAGCATCTGGGATGCTAAGACTCACATTTTCCCCAAGCTGAGAAGAGGACTAGCTCCAGACAGGGAGGGCATTTCTCTCTGAGACTGCTTGTTGGATACATAAAACAGGTCTTAAATCCAAACCCGTTTTACAGTAAGTGAGGACATTCTTTGGGGTTGCTTGAATGAGCAGTGGGAATTATTAAGACAAAGACAATCTGTCACTTTACTGATTTCTTCTGGGATATGAACAAATAAAACTGATAGTTGTTCCTCACTGAATGTTATTCATATCACTTTCCATGCTTTGGTTTTTAAATGGCTGAATTTCTGATGCCTGTCAGACTGTGGAATATTAGGCTCATTTGTGGGCTGACTCCAGTGTTAAGGATGAACTCTTTTATGGTGATTGACTATGGGCTGTATGGTCCTTTAGATTGTCTGGTTATAGAGCAGTGATATGTAATGGAGAGAATTTTATTTGTATTCTTTTACTTTCCAAAATCTCTCTTAACTGTTGTCCATTCCAAAACCTTTAAAGTTTTGATCATATCCTCTCTTTATTCTAAAATCTCACCAAATTTTACAGTTTTATTACTTATAAAAACTCTCTATAAGTAAAAAATACATAATTTTAATTGAATATTTAATATTATTTTACTTAATAAAAGTATATGTGTGGACCTGAGTCCCTACATTTTAGGAAAAGTAATCCACATTGACTTTTAGTATTGTATTAATATTTTGTGTGTGCATAGCATTTGTAGTTAATACTATATTGGTAAATTATAATTGAGTATTATGAAATGTTAATTACTCTTACCTTACTAACTGAAACAAATTGTTATCAATGAAACACATTTTCTTAGTGCCGACTTTGTCCCTCATTTTTGGAGTTGAATGATATTATTTTTTCCACCCTTACCAAAATTGATAGTATGTTTTATATTCACAGTAGCAAGTGCCCGTAAAGTGTCATAAAGTCCTCATTACCCACAAGCACAATATATAAATATTCATGAGAATTATAATGCATTTTCATGAAGAAAAACACTTAGGCAGAAAATAGATTCAGCAACCAAAGATGATTTTAATAAAATTTTCAAAAAGGATTTTATGTGACAAATATTTTATAGTTTTAGAGTCAAAGATCAAGTGTTTACAAACGTATATGTGTACTTAAGAGGACATTAAAAAGCCACATTCAGCAGATTCATGATTTGTGTAGCTTTGTTTTCTCTCTCTGGTAGTGTCACTGAGGTTATTATCTTCAGTTTTATAGAAGCCAGAGTTTATGTAACAACTTCATGATGTTTTATTTTAATAGTCTATTATGGAGTAACCATCCCTAGATTTAGCTGAAAGTTGTTGAATACATTTTGTTGTCTTGCCCCTTATAAGAATGTTCCCTAAATTTACAAAGTAGTGCTTGTCTTTTCATCTTGAAAAGACATGGTTTAATCTTTAAGATGTTTCTAATATTAGTGTTTTGTGAGCTGGGGAACTCCATGTTCTCTTTTATGTCTTTATTGTTTCTCGGTTTTTATCATTGAAGATTGAAAAAACATTATTTTAGCATGCCTTGAATTGCACACATTTCCCTCTTCCCCTCTTGAATCTTTGGGTACTTTTTATACTACTGTGTTATGATGTAGAATAGTCTTTAAAGTCTCTAGTGTGATCTTTACACACCATTTCTGGGTTTGAACAGCTACCTTAGGACTCCTTTAGGTTTTGGGGGGTTATTTTGCCCCAAATATATGACCTTTCTCTTGCTCTTAATGTCTGCTGTCCTCCTTCCCCTGATCATCAGCATCATCTCTCTACATCACTGTCTAGAAAAGCCTGGCATCATCTGTAAACCAGAACATTTGCTAAATTGGACCAGACCCAGGAGTGGTCCTCAGAATCCTCTCTAACTACCCAGAGAAGCACCCACTACTTATTGTCAACGCATTTTTTTTGTTTTGTTTTCATGGAAACTGATGTCATGAAATCTCAACACACTTTTCATGCATAACACAATGTTAGGCATATACCAGGCATTCAGTAAGCCTTCATTTAACTGATTTGACCTGGAGCGAGGTGTTCCAGGTCCCAAATCTTGGTTACAATATTAACTGGCTGGGAGGCCCCAGACAAGGAATTTACACTTCCCGAACATTCATTGCCTCCCTTATACATTAAAGATAAACATAGCGCCTTCCTCCTATAATTGTGGTAATGATTAATAAAATGCTTAGCACACTCTCTGACATATATTAAGTGTTCAGTAAATATTCATTATTGATGTTAGAATTATTCTTCTTCTCCCTCCTCCTTAATTCTCTTTTGTGGACTGCTGTCCCTTTTTTCAGTACATTAGAAGTGAGTGTTCCTTAGGATTTGTCATAGACCCTCATGTTTCCTCAGTCACCCTGCTTTCCCTAGGCAATCACTTCCATTCCTGTTACTTCACTGAAGTCTGTACAAGACTTTGCATTTCCTTCAGGATTTTCAGAGTTAACACGTCTAAAACTAAACTCCTCAATGTCTCCCCCAAACTTCTCCTTTTCTGTTTTTCATTGAATGTCACCACCATGTATATGGCCAAGTCAGAAATTTGGCAAATCCTTGACACCTCCCTCCTTTTCACCCTCTACCGCCTTACTCAGTCAACTATTAAATCCTGTCTGTTCACTTCCTTATAGTGTGAGTAATCCTACTTTTCTCTGTCCCACTGTCACTTTTTTACAACAGTCCATAATCTTCTCTTCCCTTAAAATTACATCAACCTAAATTATTTGTCTGGAGTCACCTCTTATCTCCTTCTAGTTCATTCTCCACACATCAGCCAGTTTCACATCTAAAAAGAAATGAAAATTTGATGACAAAAAATTCTTCAATGACACCCTTCTCCTAGGATGATGTTCTTGCTCCTGTTGTGAGCAATTAAAAAACCAGTCAAATATTTCATTATTACTAATGATATTAAAGTTACATAAGACACAGTAATGTTTGTGAGCTCACTGTTTTAATATATTTAAAAGATTGAACAATGTTCTTTTGTTAGGGGTTGTTCCTGAATAAGCTTTTGAACCATTCACTTAAAACTCTTTTGTCAAACTACAGAAAGCTCTTTTGTCAAACTACAGAAAAGTGGTTACAGTATAGAAACTATTTCACTGACTCAGACTTAACTCATATAGTTTTCTTTTCCTGGAGAATTGAGTCAATAATATTTATTCATAATGGATATAATTTTACAGAGTTTTGTTTTATATTATGACAGAAAAAAATAAGCCTTAAATATTATGTCATTAGCAAGTCTCTAAAAATGATTGGATTAACAAATTTTGTTACTGTTTGCCTTTTTCATCTGGTCATCTCTGAACCTAAAGTTTTATTATCTTTTATATTTTCAGTACTTTTATTATGCTAATATTACATTCTCCTAAGTTAACTGAATAATTTTGGAAAATGTCATCAAATGTGATTTAAAACTGGTAAATTAGGAATTTTCAAAGTTGTTTATGTTGGCAGCATGCTCATTTGTGTTAATATTGTATAATGATATCAAAGAAACTCATGACTGGTTACCTCCCATTTATTGGACATTTTGAACACTGCTTGGTGCTAGGCACCATGTGGGGTGCCAGGACCACAACGATGAAAAAGAGGTAGTATCTGATCTCACCTGCATGCTCTAAGATAGGCACCAAACATTACCATAAATTATGGACCATTTCTGCTTTCAGAACAAGAAATTTTTGTGGCCTCCTCATATGCTATTTGAGTCTAGAAACCCATTTCTTTCACCCTTTCCCTATGTGAACTGCATTAATTCGTTTATAGAGTAGTGGTAGTGAGCCCTGTGGTCAGAAACATCCAAGTGAAAATCCCAGCTCTATTAGTTAGTTACTAGCTGTAGTAGTCAACTATTGCTATGTAACAAACCACTCCATAATTCTATATCTTAAAAAAATAATTATTTTTTTAGTTTCTCATTTTTATGCAGAATAGCTGGAATTTGACTAATCTAAGCTGCATGACTCTGCTTCAAGCTGAGGCAGCTGGGGCTGATCTGTTACTCACTGCAGGTCTCTGAGTCAGCTGGGTGGCTCTGCTTCACATTTGCCAATGCTGAGGCACAGGCCAACGGGACAGCAGTTTCTTAAAAGAAACACTTTCCATGGTAGAAGAGCAAGAGAACATCTGGAGATGAAGCTGACATGTTGTCACTTCTAGTCCCATGCTATTTGCCAAAGTAAATCACATGATCAGGCCCCGTCAAGGGGTAGGAAAACATACTTAGTCCACAGGAGGGTAACAGTGAGGATGCAGAGAAGGTTAAAGAATTGGAGTTGATGATCTAATCTATCATAACAGTTGTGTATTTTTGGACAAGTTACACAACCTTTCTAAGTGTCTGTTTCCTTATTTATAAAATAGAGGTAATGATTGAGCCTGTATTATAGATTTCATTATGAGGACTAAATAGAATAACATATGCACAGCTCTTAGCATAAGTGTCTGAACACAGTAAGCAGACAGAAAATTTTAGCTATTGATGAGGGTTGAGTCCTAACACGAGGCTCACATTTATTGGATGACCCTAGAGACAGGACTGACAATCAAAGCTGTGATTCTTGGTCCACAATAGACCATAAACTCTGTAATGTGTCTCTGTCCTCTACTAAGAGTGTGAACGTTAACATTATAAGGATCCAAATGTAAACCATCTGCTCTTGTTCTCCTTAGGTATGTTTAAAACAGAATACCAGGGCCAGTTACCCATTGTCACTTTTCCAACCAGTGGTATTGTGCAGCCTAAGTCATCAATGGTTATTAAAGTGGATTTCTGTGCAGACTGGCCCATAATTGTAAATGAAGTGCCAAAGTGAGTATATACTATGGTTCTTAATTCTAGTGTAGTGCTTAATACTTTCCTATTTCACTTTTCGTATATGCCTGTTGTATTTGAATGTACGTTAGCTTCTTCTTTCAGTCAGCATTCATTTATTGAGTATCTACTATTTGCCAAGCACTAGGGACTGAAAAATGGGAAGAACCAGAGAATGGCATATGGGTACACCTAACAGGAGCTCCTAGTTTGGATTTTGTTGGAGTGAGGGAGTGGATCAAGAAAGAGCTCCACTAAGGAGGTGATAGTTGAACCAAACACCTGTGGTTGAGTAGAAATTAGCCAGGCAAAGAGCAGTGGTGTGATTTGGGCTGAGTGTGTGTGTGTATGTATGTGTGTCTGTGTGCAGGGGAAGTGGGTATTGGTGATGAGAGTGGGTTAAATGAGTGATTTCAGGCAGTGCAAGTAGAAGACTTGAATTCCTACAGGTTAATAGACAGTGTTACACATCAAGAGATCTGAGGCAAAGAGATGGAGGTGAGGAGTGTTGAGAGATGAGACCAGAAAAACAGAATGGTGCAGGGTCCAGTTAAGGACCTCATAAGACAGCATTTTTTAATGCTATATGTCTCAGTTCATTAGCAGAATGTGCAATCACTATAATGGGTTACCACCAGTATTAAAACAATGAAATAGAAAACATCAGAATGCATCTCACATGGTAAGGGCAAGTGGCGTTTTGTAAAATTTGTTTCGTGTGTGTGTGTGTCTGTGTGTGTGTGTGTGTGTTTGTCCTGCATTGTAATGTAAAATGCATTTCTAACTGAAGGTCACAATTAAAAAAATGTTTGAGAAACAGTTGTGAGCCCTGATAGGAGCTTGGGTTCTATTGTAAAGGCTGTGGAATCTCAGGAAGGTTTTAAGATGGGAGTGTCTTGATTAGTTTGCATTTTAGAAAGGTCATGTTGATAGCAGTGTACAAAATCGAGGAGTACAGATGTGGAGTGGATAGCCTGACTAGAAATTCTAATAGTAAAGCAGAAGAGAAATAACGAAGGCCTCATTTAAGGTACAAATTGGGAGTATGGAGGGAGAGAAGTGTGCAGATTGGAGATAATGTTATGGAGGTAGATTTGACTATATTTAGTGACTGGTTATAGAAAGGGAAGGTAAGAGGAGGTTCAGGTCTGTGAGAGAAGATCTTGAGTTCTGTTTTGGAATGCTGGAATTGATTTGCTTTGCAGAATCCTGTGGAGCCTATTATATTTACTTATCTTGACTCCCAGAAAAAAATTTGGTCTAGGTATATTGGTTTGAGAGTTGTCAGTTCATAAGTTGTAGATGAAGCATGAAATGTTGAAGGAGGGTAGAGTATAAAAAAAGTAGGAGAGAAACAGCATTATTCATGGAGTTTACAAAATATCCAAGTCTTAGAAGAATGAGAAGGCAGAGTCTAAATAAGTTAGAAGGAAAGCCATGAAAGTATGGTGTCAAGAAAGCTAAGGGAGGGGAGATGTGGAAAGAGATGGTATCAACCGTGCCCAATGTGACAGAGATACACAGAGATACAAAGTTAATGACTTTGGTGATGGCTGTGAATTGGTCAGTGATCTGTGGTATCTGACAGGGAGAGATTCAAAAGGATTGCATTTATGCCAGAGAGGGATAAATGCGGGATGGAGAGAAGTTGCAACAGTGAATTCAAATTAGTCTGGAAAGTGAAGTTTTATGAGGGAGGATATTCATTTCAGCAAAGAAGTGGAGTTTTGCTGAGATACTTTACTTTGTAGGGAATTGGGTTATTAGGATGGGGATGAAGTTGGCTGTTGGACTTGGGGGGATGGGATGAGTTAGAAAAGAATCTCAGAATTCTAGAACTAGAGGTGACCATGTAAATCATTGGTGATATGGAAATATCAGTAAGTGATTTTTGGGGTCAATTCATGCAGTTGTTTTCCATCTTTGTTGCTTCCTGGAGACAATGAATTAGGTTGCACATATGCTATTCTACTTTGCAGATTCAGACAGACAGAAGGACACGACAGTCTCTGGCACATACGTGAAAGGAACTGCTCTTAGTCCTTTGTATTTTAATTATTATGTGATTTTATAAAATTTCTGTTTATATAAACATTTAGGAGAAAAATAAAATATGTAGAATTCTAATTAAAATATGTATGTATAATTCATTATCTTGTAGAGTGAGTTTGCGAGATCGTCCAGACATATTCTTGAATATCAAAGCTCATGTTGTTGAGCAGATTATTGAATTGTTAAACATGAGTAATGATAAAAAGTTGGAAAGCATAAGCTTTGGTCCTGTTTTCTTTGGAATGTCAAAGATTGAACATGCACTTCTATACAATAATAGCCCAGAACCTATAAATTGGGTAGCCATAATGCAAGATGATTCTGTTGGAGAAGAATTGGTAAGTAAGTAGTGCAACTTACTAATAACCAACAAGCTGTTTAAGTTTTCTAAATATGTTTTAACATGAAGATAGATATGATTTCATTTCATGTGTCTCCAAGGGTGACCTAAAAAAGTTCAGTAAATTCAGCTGACATTGAGAGTAATCTATATCTGTTCTTATCCATTTTTCAATAGTTCTTTTAATTTTATGAGGTGCCTTGATCAAATTTATGTATGAACATACATATTCTCTATATCTAGACTCTGGAATTTCAATAATTATTTTATGACCTCATCTTAAAATATTTTATTTTGTGTTTTGCCTGAATATTCTTTTATTTCTGATTTTATATTACAGGGTACAAATATTCAACAAAGAACAGATGTTGCTTTAAATAATCTAACCTACTTAAGGAAAATAAAGAACATAGATATTACCACATTTATCTCCTATGTTCCTAATGAAGGGAGGTTACAGCCTTATCAAAAGATTTTAATTACATTTTGTTTCAGCCCAAAGTAAGCAAAAATTAATTCCAACATGATGTTACTTATTAATGGAAAGTATATTAACCATACATTCATCAGATTGATTTTAATAGTAAAACTTGGTGGGCTTCCCTGGTGGTGCAGTGGTTGAGAATCTGCCCGCCAATACAGGGGACACGGGTTAGAGCCCTGGTCCGGGAAGATCCCACATGCCACGGAGCAGCGAGGCCGCCACAGCTGCTGAGCCTGTGCTCTAGAGCCTGTGAGCCACAACTACTGAGCCCGTGTGCCACAACTGCTGAAGCCCGCGTGCCTAGAGCCTGTACTGTGCAACAGGAGAGGCCACCGCAATGCGAAGCCCACACACCACAATGAAGAGTAGCACCTGCTCGCCGCAACCAGAGAAAGCCCGTGTACAGCAACGAAGACCCAACACAGCCAAAAATAGATAAATAAAATAAATAAATTTAATAATAATAAAAAAAAAACTTGGCAGAAGGCACAAATTGGGTTTTTCTTATTATGGTTCTAAATATTTCTAACCTGGTTAATATTATTTCCAATATTTAAAAATGTTTCTAAATACTTCATTTTAAATTAAAAATCTCTCCAGACCTTGTGGAAATGAGGTGATGGAAGTTTTGGGTTGCTTTGGATTTTGGCTGCAAACCAATCTGTTCAACCAAGACCTTGTTGTCCCTGCAGAAATAGTCAGGTGATGGCCAGGGGCATGCAGTATGTTCTAGATGCCTCCAAAGAGGATGCAGTTGCTCCTGCCAGGGCCAAATGCTTACTGAGTATCAGGAATATTAAGCCTATAGCAGCTGCTGGGATCAACCACACTTGCTTGCTGAAACTCATACAGACGTTTAGGACTTTTGCCAATGTATATTTTTCCCTGTACTTGGTTTGATTATTTAGTTTGAAAATATATTTGGCAATGCTGTTTTAAATATATAGTAGCAATTTCAGCTACACTTGAGAGGTTGCAGTGTGTGACAATAACCGATCCAATTGTCAGTATGCTTACCCTTGTTTGTAAGAAGGCAATGTTTAATGTACTTCTCTCTGTGGCAACAGGGTCACTTGGTGATACCAACTGTCCGATGAAGACTGAGTTGTGGTTTAATTTAAGGAGGGTAGTAAATCAAGTAATTGTTCTATTTGTACAACCTATAATTGCCTTATTAAACATCTCTTCATGCAGGAAACTTCTTTGGTGAATCTGTAAGAGTCTGTTTAATACACAATCTTTGAAATTCTAAATATTCTTTTCATGGCAACATGTTCATTTTATTTGAGAGTCTAGCATGAACACATAGGAATAAATATGATTTGTAGTCTTAGTTAAAGATGTTCTCACTATGCTATTTTGTTACCTGTGTAATATTTCACATCAGCCTTTTGTGTGTATGTTTGAGTATCCGCTGCTAAAAAGCTGAGCTCTAGGTAAGGCAAGTAAAGATTGCTAGTGCACAAGCCTGTGATGTAACCCATCTCTGTCTTTGGTCCTACTTCCCTTCTTCTCATCTTTCCTTTGCTTTTCTCCTCTGCCAAGATTAGGCTGTTACCAAATCTTATTCTCCAAATTACTTGTTCTCCTCTAGCAAGAATGTGGCTAGCAATATGTGCCTAGTCCATGGGAGGAGACAGGTACGTACGAGAGGTTTGCAGTTTCACCCTGGTGTAAGAAGGACTATTGTAGAGAATTGAACAGAGACCTTAGCTAGCAATGAAGTTTGCCTGGAAGGAAAATCCTTTACATAGAAAGTGGCGTTGCAGGCAAGACCTTGACAACTTAGTATATTTAAATTCCTCTTATCTTACAAATATCATCATGAAGTCATTTTTTGGATCTTCACATAATATGAGTATCATCTTCTTCTTGGCAAGTCTCAATGTCTTGTGCAGTAATTTTGGAAAATGGATCACAGTCACCTTTTTATTCCTGAATTTCGTCTGTTTGCATAGATTTAAGTATTGGGTTGAAATTCCCTTTTGAGAGATAATAAAGTTATCATCTTTGCTTTAGAAATAACTGACTGTGATTTTTTACAGGCTAATCATTAATGGTCAAAAGGATGATCCTTCACACAGGCAAGACTATGCTCTCTTTTTGAGATTTGAGTCTGTAGGAAGTAAAGATGGATTTTTGAGAGATGATAACAATAAAACCATCAAAAGTAAATACGAAATGAACATTATCATCAAATGTATAGCTGTTTATTGTTTAAAAGTTTGGACAGCAATATTTGTAGAGGCAGTTTAATAAAAATATATAATTCTGGACTAGAATAAAAATGCAAACATTCGAGAGACCTTAACATGTCTTCTGTGGCACGTTGAGAAAAGTCAGCCTCAGCATCATTTACATGATAATTTTCCAAGTTAGAATTTAGATGACTTTATTATTTTATTTTATTATTATTTTTTAAAATTATTTATTTAGTTTTGGCTGCATTGGGTCTTGGTTGCTGCACACGGGCTTCCTCTAGTTGCAGCGAGCGGGGGCTACTCTTCGTTGCTGTGCACGGGCTTCTCATTGCGGTGGCTTCTCTTGTTGCGGAGCATGGGCTCTAGGTGCACGGGCTTCAGTAGCTGTGGCACATGGGCTCAATAGTTGTGGCTTGCAGGCTCTAGAGTGCAGGCTCAGTAGTTGTGACGCATGGGCTTAGTTGCTCTGCGACTTACGGGATCTTCCCGGACCAGGGCTCGAACCCGTGTCCCCTGCATTGGCAGGCAGATTCTTAACCACTTAACCAGGGAAGTCCCAACTTTATTATTTTAAAATAACATTAGATAAACATGATGATGTAGAGTTAAGGGAATAAAAAAAGAAAACACACAAAAAAAACCCTGCTTTCTTTTCTTTGTAAGCCTAGGTTATCTCTTAGAGATTAATATGGGAACAAATGACCTATTTCATCTTTACCAAACCTTTTGCTCTCTTAGAAGCTATATAAAGAGACAGTCACTTTATTTACTAGTCACCCTATTTACTAGAGCTCTAGTAAATAGAGCGTAATATCCTGCTATAGGATATTGATAAGTGCGTGTGCTTTGCAGGCCACACGTAAAGATGCAAGGCACTTTTTACATTTTTGGGTAACGTTGGATGCGTTGCAGTGAGGAAAATGGAACTGGTCTTCAGTTTAGCAAGAAAGATCAAAGAGAAAAATATAGGCAGAAGACAGATGAAATCCAGAAAGATGAGCCATGGTAAGTCAAGAGTCTAGAAGGTTTACATGTTGGTACAAGTGATGTAATTGAGCAGAGTTGAACTGTGTTCCTAGGGCAGAAATTGATTGCTCTGTTACTGTTTATGCCGTGGTTCGTGATATGGAGCTCTGTCTGCTGATCATAGACAGAACATTTATTCTAGGCTTGCAAGTTAATCTAGTTTTCAATGGCTAGAGATACAGATGCTAGGTTTTCCTTAGAGTCTAGGATTGGCTAGTAAGACCAAGAGTGAAGAAATATAAACTCTGTTTATGGGATTCTAGTTACATTGCTTTCTCTGCAAAACAGTTCTTTCACTCAATTAGAGCTCACAATTCATAGGTACTAGCTTCTTTCTAGTATCTCCTAAACTTCATATTTATGTTATTGCTCAGCTTATATTCCATCATCCATTATTTTAATCACCTTTTCCCAAGTATATGTAAATCTCTTGGCTCAACTCCCATTTTGGATGAGTGGAAAACCTCTAATCTGATTAAATTCAACTCTTAGCCTACTCTAGCGCTGCACCTGGGAAGCTAATTGCGCTGGCGAAAAACACAAAACCAGGCTGTGAGGTTTCACTTTATATCTATAACCACTAATCCCAACTGAGTCCTGGTGTTTGCCATTCCTGCTGTGTTCCTGCATGCATTCACTTTCTTTCGATTTGAGATTAGTGTCACACAGCTTCTCTTCTCCCCTCAAAACTCCAGTCCTTCCTCCTTCATCTTCACTCTAAGGTTACAAATATATTAAGTGACCTATTAAGACATTTCCACTTGGATGTCTACTAGACATCTCAAACTTAACATGTCCAAAAAAAGAACTATTGGTTTCCCTATAACCTATCCCTCCTGAAGTCTTTCCTGTCTCAAGAAATGAGAATTCCATCACTTCAATTGCTTATGCCAAAAACCTTAGCATTATCATTTATCATGTTCAATCTCCTATTCTACATGCAATCCGTCAGCAAATTTTGTTAACTGTACCCTCAAAAGTATATCTTAAGTCTGATCATTTCTCACCATTCTTCTACTGCTCTTCCGCAGCCATACTTCGTTCCTGGGGGTTTTTTTTGAGCATGCCAAGCCATTCCTAACTTAGAGTCTCTGTACTTGCTGTTTTCTCTGTTTAGAATACACTTTTTTTCTGGATTTTTCACATGATTTTCTTCCAGAGTCCCTTATATCTTTGCTCACACGTCTCCCTATCAGAGAGGTCTTTTGGGACTTCCCCATATCAATGAGCAGCCCCAAGACATTGTACGCTGTCTTACTCTACCTTATCTATTTATTTTATTGTCAGTGTCACCTCACTAGAATGTAAAACCCATGAGAGCAAGGACATTGTCTGTTTTATTCACTGCTGTACCCCCAAGGCCTAGAAAAGTCCCTGGCACAAAGAAGGCCCTGGCACTCAATAACTTTGTTGAATGAAAGATTGAATGAGCTACCCATGTCTCATCAAGTCTTTCAGATGACACTATTTGGACTGAGCAAATATATCCTGGAGTCCCAAAACACTTTTAATGTTAAAAAGCTATTATTGCTTTTACAGGTGATCGATTTCAGAAAGTGGAATTAGCCCTGACAGGCTCAGGACTTCCTGTCTTATTACAGTTTGATCCGGGAAGGGTCCTTAATTTTGCACCTTGTTTCATGCGTGGACGTTCAGAGATTCAGTGTATTATGCAAAATCGATCCAAATCACTTCCTGTGATGTACCGCTTTAAAAAAACTGCACATTTTAAAGTTGATCCTCAAAAGGGCAAGATAGATGAAGGATGTATGCAGGTAAGATAATCATTCTGTGCTTTCACATGCTTTAAATATTTTAAGGTTGGCTAAAAAACCATGCAGAGGATTAAAAGCTACATTTGTTGTACCAGTGCTTATAAATTTTCTCTCTTTTGTGACCTAGTTATGAATACTTTTGTATTGGTACCTATACAATACCCATAATTATTTGTTAAGTGCCTTTCATATGCCAGGAAAACCACTTGACACCGTAGGGAATGTAAAGTACAAAACATAGTTACTGCTTCTAAGGATTTTTTTTTTTTTCTGAGAGAATATTTATTTACCTATGTGCCCAGGAGGTTGGCCCCTAAACTTAAATATCCAGCATGGAGCTTTGGCCCTCCCACACGAGGGTGGATGCAGGAATGGGTCCTGGAGCCCTTGTCTAGGGCAGTAGAACCCAGGAACCAGAGATGGGATGCACCTGAGCCAGCGGCTGCTGATAGCAGCAAAAGGTGAAAAGGAGGTGGGAACCAGGAACTCATCCCAACCGCAGAGCTGCCGAAGGTTGGTCAAGCTTGGGTTCACACATGTGGGAGAATTGGAAGTCCAGTGCCATGTGCAAAGGCTGGAACCCAGGTGTCCGCCCCAGTGCCAGCTAACTCAAGACAGGAGAGAGGGGGTGGTGGCAGTTTTGCCACCAAGAGGCCCAGGTCTTAACACTCCTGTGAGGTGAGGTGGTAGGGGGGAAAGCGGGCACTATAGTCTGAGTACTTGCTTACTTGCTGAGGGATGCATCCCCCAAGGCCAGCTCTTCAGAGGCTGGTGTGGAAGGCGCCCTGCAACCACTGGTCATGGGCATAGTGCCTGTGGGGCACAGTGAAGGGTGGCAGGTTGAGGGGCAGGCTGGTATCAGGAGGCTCGTCGTCGTCAGATAGGCCAGTGTCGGGTGGGTAGGAGCTGAGTGTAGGGAGGGCCAGTCTTGTCACAGGTGCTTTCAATAGTTCAGGATTGACTCGTACAGCGCCCCCAGCTGGCACAGCAGGGACGCGTCCGCCCACCGCCGCCTAAGGCAGCGCGGCAGGCGGGGTCAAGGTGGGCGGCGTACAGGGGCTGGTCCCGGACGCCGGAGGCTTGGGCCCGCTGGTTGCGGCTGCGGCTGCGTGGGCTGTGGATGCGCCCCAGCTCCGGCCACGAGCCCTGCGCGGTGAGCAAACCTATGAGGCCGCGCGGTAGCCTGGCCCGGACGCAGCTCGCGCCGACCGGCGCCTCGGCCAGGAGCAGCCCGTCATGGCCCGGCGGATGAACTTCTATGCCGCCTCCTTCCCTCCAGCGCTCCGCCAGGTAAGAATTTTTTAATGCATTAAGGAAGCGTAAGACATACAAACAGGTAGGGTTCAAGAATGCAAGGTATCTTAAAACAGATCTGTAACAAGGTGATACAGAAACTCCAGCCAGGTAGAAAGGTCTTCCATCATAGTAACATATGAGCCAGACCTTGAAGGTTCAGTAGAATTTTCTAATTGGAAACAGATGATAACTTAATTGACCGAGGCCTTGTACTGCTGGTGCAGAGCAGAAAAGTTGAATGACGAAGCACACCTGTGAGCACCAGGCCAGCTTATGGATGTCAGAGTCTGCTTTGCTCTTTCTCACTACTCAGACAGCTCTTTCCCAGATCCTCTAAACCAGGGGTTGGCGGACTATGGTCCACAGGCAGCCTGCCGCCTGTTTCTTTTTGTTGTTGTTGTTGTTTATTTTAAGTAAACTGCTATTGGAACGTAGCCCCTCTTATTTGTTGCCTATTGTCTATAGATGCTTTAATGCTACAGGGGCAGAGTTGAATAGTTGTGAGAGTTGTATGGTTTCATAAAGCCTAAAATATTTACTGTCTGGTAATTAACAGAAAAAGTTTGCTGAGCCTTGCTCTAAACAGTAGCAAACATGAGTGCCTTCAGTTTCACCTCAGGTTCTTATGTTATCATCTTTCCTCCAATGCATAGTGATATGGTTCATAAAGTTATTGATGGAAGCTTTCTCCCAGTTGCAGTTAAGAAATGTTGTATACATGTTTAAATGCATGCAATTCATATGTATAACTCTTCCTGCTTCATTAGAATGACACTCCTCCCACAGTTTTAATAGAGCTAATTAGTCTTCACAGAATAACAAGTGTTAACCACTTTATGCAAAACGCTTTCTTTTTAATGGTTTCTTAGACTTTAGTCTAAGTCTCTTAGTCCTACCAGCATAATTCATTTTCTCCAGTAACCTGCATATCTTTCAAAACATAGCTGATTTTCTCTGATCAGAGAAACTGACAAGGATCACAGGAATCTGGTCAATTTCTCTTAGCAGTCAGCTCCAAGTGTTAACGACTTTGAAAGACACGATTACCAATTTCCTACAGAAGCTCTTCACACCAGGATAAGAGAGTGGAGGCGGAAGTTGAGAAAGAAAGTGGTGAGAGGAGCAAAATGAGTGAAAGACTGAAAATAGCAGTGCTACAGAAAAGATGGGAAATAATAGCACAAAGGAAACAAAGGTTAAGGTGAATTTATAATGTGGAAGGATATGTCCTACATCCTTTGTGTTGCTTTACTTTTGCTAGCTAAAATGTTTCAGAACCTGTTGTGGCATCCAACCTCAATTTGATTAGCATTATCTTAAGAAAGGGCTAAGTACCCAGGAAACAAGAGAAAATTTACAGCATGAAATATATAGTGGAAAATGATAGCAATAGGATGTTTTTTAATATACGGTAGGCATAAAATTAGTAACAGTAGATTAGGGATGGGCTGTTCCTAGTGGTTATGTTGAGAAAATGTGTAGAATGGCCAACAATTTAAGTGGACATGATATGAAAAGGTTAATTCAGTTTGAGTGTAGAGGGGGAGTCTGAGTGTTTAGAGAAGATACATGGGTGACAGCTGATAAATATGTGGCTGAGCAGATAATGAATCACTGTTGAGAAAGGAACATTTAAAGAGGGTATAATAAAGGGTCTTTCCTTTCATTATTAAATGAAAACTGTTCTGTTCACAAAGGTTTTTAATTTCTGTAATGCAAGACAGACCTGAAGTATATTTGCCACTTAAATTTAGGTCATCATATAATCTTTTGGGCATAAAAAGAAATATATACTTTTGTGCATCTCTGAAACCAATTTGGGAATTTCACATTGAGAGGGGCTCCTGGGAACACCATATGCTATATAAAATTTTCAAACTCAAAAAAGAACCCCATAAGGGACTTCCCTGGTGGTCCAGTGGTTAAGAGTCTGTGCTTCCACTGCAGGGGACATGGGTTCAATCCCTGGTCGGGGAACTAAGATATCCTGCATGCTGCGTGGCTTGGCCCAAAAAAACCCAAAATACCAAAAAACCAAAAACAAAACCCCCATAGCTGATAGTTAATTTCTTAACATAAATTTTAGCCCTCTACATTTCTGGATTTCTTGAGCACTTGTAAGTTTCAAATTACTAAAAAGTGAATGTAGGGAATGTGGGGGACACTGGAGAAGTATGACTTCCACAGGCTGGTCAAATAGCCTTTGAGTATTTGGAAGTGTGGTAAGATTATTCTTTTCTTTTAATACCAGCTTTATTGGAGCATAATTCACACACCATAAAATTTACACATTTAAAGTATACAATTCAGTGGTAATTAGTATATTCACAGAATTGTGTGGCTATCAGCACGAATTCCACAACATTCTCATCACTCCAAAAAGAAACACAATGTCCATTAGTGGTCACTCCCCTTGCTCCCCATTTCTTAGCCCCTGGTAACCACTAATCTATTTTCTATCCCTCTAAATTCCCCTGTTCTTGACATGGCATATAAATACAATCATATAATATGTGGACTTTGGTTTCTTTGATTTAGCATAATATCTTCAATATTCGTCAATGTTGAAATAGGTCTCATTACCTCATTCCTTTTTATGGCCAAATTATATTCCATGGTATGGCTATACTACCTTTTGTTTATCCATTCATCAGTTGATGGCCATTTGCATTTGTTCCACCTTTTGGCTGTTGTGAAGAATGCTGCTATAAACATTCATGTAGAAGTTTTTGTATGGGTAAGTTTCCTTATGTATGTATGTATGTAGTTTTTACTATAGAAAAAGTTACGTAATAAAACAAAAGGAAACTTTAGAACTTCTAATACAGATCAAGGTGCTCTGAAGGGATGTGGCAGTAAATACATAGATTATAATTGCCCCACACTTCCCCAGTCTTATCCTCAACATTTTTTTTTTTGTCCTCAGCTTTATTGAGGTATAATTGACAAATAGGAATTGTATATATTTAAGGTGTACAACTGTTTGGATATATGTGTACATTGTGTAATGATCACCACAATCAAGCTAACTAACATATTCATCACCTCACATTGTTAGCTTGTTTTTAACCTCTTACCAAATTGCAGGTATACAATATAGTATTGTTAACTATAGTCATCATGCTCTACATTAGATCTGCAAAATTTACTCATCTATTTTTTTTTTTCTTTTTTTTTTTTCCGGTACGCGGGCCTCTCACTGTTGTGGCCTCTCCCGTTGCGGAGCACAGGCTCCGGACACGCAGGCCCAGTGGCCATGGCTCACCGGCCCAGCCACTCTGCGGCATGTGGGATCTTCCCGGACCAGGGAACGAACCCGTGTCCCCTGTATCAGCAGGCGGACTCTCAACCACTGCGCCACTAGGGAAGCCCTACTCATCTTGAGTAACTGAAACTTTGTACTCTTTTGACCAACATCTCCCAATTTCCACCCCCTCCCTGCCCCAGCAGCCACCATTCTACTCTCTCCTTCTATGAGTTTGACTATTTTAGATTCCACGTATATGCCACATATAAAATTCATGTACTATTTGTCTTCCTGTGTCTGGCTTGTTTCACTGAGCATAATATCCTCCAGGTTCATCCATGTTGTCACAAATGGCAGGATTTCCTTCTTTTTTAAGGCGGAATAATATTCCATTGTGTGTGTACTATATTATTTGTATTCATTAATTGGTGAACATTGAGATTGTTTTTGACTCTTG